CTTTCCCTCGCCTGCTCCCCGCCGGGCGCTAGCTTCCGCACGCGGTCGCCAGAGGCGCCCGGGCCGAGGCCCTGCTCCACCGTCCAGGGTGGGCTCTGAGATGCAGGCCGACTGGGTACAGGGATGGTTTGAGGACTGGCCTCTCCCGAGGCATCTGATGCGAAGATCCTGGCGGGAGTGAACAGCGGGAGGCTCAGGATGGGCAGACACTCCCAGACTGGCCAGTAAGGCAGCATTCAAAAAGAATCAGGGAAGCTGGTATGTACAACTTTGTATTCCATCACTTTTCTGACTAATTTGCATGCACTGAGTGGGTGCTCTGCAAACACTAACTGAATTAAAATAGCAAAATAATCTTCCTCAAAATTCCTTGGAACTTTCAATTAAACAATCCTGCCCCATCAGTTTCTTTGGACCCACATGGGATCCCTGTGAGGGGCCTGGGAGGTAAGAATTGAAAGTGCCCTTAAAACCCGCCCCCTTCTGCCCAAGCCTCTGGGCATTTCCAGCAAATGGGGAAACTGAGTCACAGTCACCACTGGTTAGTTCTGTTAAATGAGAGTTGCCTGACTCTTCTTGTCCTGACAACCGAGACTGAAGTATGAATTAGGTAGAATTGCAGAAGCCCACAGGTTTGAGAGGGAGACAGACAAGGACAGACACACAGATGATTAAACTATAAATGATGAGTGCCGGGAGAGACAGAAGCACAAGTAAATGCAAACAGAGAGGGCTCCTAACACAGGCTCCGGGAAGACTTCTGGGAGTGGTCTTGAAGGACAAGTCACAGGTAGTAGCTGAGTGAAGGTACACAAATTCTTCCTGGTGAAAGGCCCGGAGGTGGAGAACACAGGTGCCTGCGGAGGTCTGCAAGCAGGGCAACCTGTGGGGAGATCAGCAGGGAGTGGAGGGGTCTCCTGACTCCCAGCCCAGTGCTCTCTCAATACCCGATTCAGGCCTTTGGGCACAAGATTGAGAAACTGGAGAATGGCGCTCTAGGAAGTTAGGAGAGGAAGACCAGCTGGGATAGAGGGACAAAAAGACTTCCAGGGCACAAGACCTGGGCCTCTGGCAGGAACCCAGGGGGGACAGCAGAGACCGGCAGTTTGAACCACATGAGTTTGCATTTATTAATAAATTAATAAATCCATAAATTAATAAATGTTGACAATTTCATGTAGTTCAACCAGCTAGGTGTCCAGAGCAACTTCAGTCTCTTAGCCACGCACACATCTGGTGACAGACGCAGAGCAGGCCCGAGTGCCCAGATAGTATGGAGAACAGTGGGGCTCCGTGTTTCCCACACACAGAGCTCTGAGAACTGCAGCTGTGACCAAAGAGCCTGTTAGAGCCTCCACCCACCAGGCCCCAAAACTCCCTACAGGACCAGCTCTGCGTGGGGGAATGAGGTGGAACAGTTGGGAAGTGGGAGAACTGAACTCCACTGAGAGGGAGTGTGATGGTCTCCATGGGGAACGTGGACGCATAAGGCAGATAGACAGAAAAGGACCTGACCACGTTAAAAATTGATCCATATCATTAAAGTGATGGCACATGTGAATATGTGTGTGATTTTTAAAATGTTCCGGGGCTTTTTCCCTAAAATTATACAAGTTTCGTTGGCTAAATGTCATGCGTTTCAACTATATCTCCTCTTTAGCCCTATCCTATGGCTGTGTGACAGAATAATTAACCTCTCTGCATCTCTCTCCATCCAGCTTCCTGTCAGTATTCTCCGAGGCAGTGTGTGCAATAACGCTTTAGGATTTCCACTGGTATTGTTACTGAAATTGTTCATGAGATGCAAGAACCGACAGGTTTCTCTTCTAGGGACTTACTCAAGAGAATTGAAAATAACAGACAAAAACTGTGCACAGATATTGATAGTAGCATTATTCAAAATAGCTAAAGGGAGAAACAACCCAGTGTCCATCAACTGATGGATACACAAAATGTGGCCTTTTCATGTGATAGAATATTATTTGACCATGAAAAGGAATAAAGTACTGATAGAATATGGATCAATGTCAAAAATTATGCTAAATATACGAAGCCAGTCACAAAAGGACATTTATATGAAATGTCCAGAATTGGCAAATAGATGGAGGCAGAGAGTAGATTAGTGGTTCCTTAGGGGTAGGAGGTAAGGGGAGATCGGGGGACTATAGCTAAAAGGTACTGCATCTCTTTGGGGAGTAAAGAAATACTCTAAACTTGATTGCCACGATGGTTGTACAACTCTGTGAATATATTAAAACCATTACATTGTACACTGTAAAAGGGTATGTGAATTATATTTCCATAAAGCTGTTACTAACAAAGAACAAACAAGTTTGGAGCCCAGAAGAGAGTGCTCCCCAAGGACAAGGGTCTAGTGTTTTCAAACAATTTTTTCTCCCACCTGGTTCATGAGAAAAGCACTGGATGGTCCGGAAGTCCTCGAGATTGATCATGCTTCTGCGAATGTCTCACTGAGCAGCCTTGGGGGGCTCTGTTGTCCTGGGCCTCACCTTCCTTATCATCAGTATGAACACACTCACAGAGCAGTTCACCTTGAAGCGTCTTCCATACCCAACTCTGGAGTTCAGAGTTCCCTGGCCACCGCCCGCCCAGTAGCCTCTAGGCAGGATGGGAAGGGCACAGGGCTCAGAAGGCAGGCAGTGGACTCAGATGCCTGCCTCCTCTCCCTGGGCACATCTGGCCCACTTTCCTTTTATTGCACTTTAATTAAGTTGTTCAATCAGATGGGTACCAGGAATCCGTAGGCTGGAACAGCTCAGGCAGGAGCAGAGCCTTGTAGCGGAACTAAACCAACAAAGTCTGCCTCC